TCATTGACTCTCCCCAGAAAATCTTTTATGTAGTTTCTGTGGACAGTGTATGGCGCATGTGCCATGCAGTGTTCATGCTCAGCCCATTTACAACATCTCTAAGATGCCATGAATGGGCCTGATGCCGGGGAGGATGCGGTCACCCAAAAAGGATTTCGGCAGAACCAGGAAGTGTCACCAGTGGAGATGGTGGTGGCAAGTGATTGAAGAGCGATCCAACAATGCTGGAGAAGGGCACACTTATAAGTTAAGTGTGCCCTAATGTGCAAGTATACTGTGCATACTGTCACATTAGGACAAAAACACAGCCTTCTCACATCGGTTCACTTCCGCTTTAATTCACATAGTCAGTACAGACCTTTCTTCTGCTTATTTAGCAGAGACGAATTGTCATGTGATGTGACTCAAGGCATCCAAACAGACTTTAATTGAGTGTAGTGCAATCATTAAAAGATGACATCCTATTGCTTGGCACAAGTAACTGCAGTTACATGTTGCTCTTCATTTTGTTTAATAAGCCCAACAATTGTTTTGTTTTTTTAAATGGAACTCCAGGAAGCAAGAATCTCCTTTTTGAATGGGACCATTCCCAAAGAGGTCCTCCTCTCCAACTGCCCATCTGCTCTCTTTAGCATTGCAAACAGCAGCAATATGCCCTGACAATGTCTACATTTCATGGTAGACAGTAGTCTTTAACAGGGTTCCATAGAGAACCATTTTATTTATGGTAAACCACAATCATGGTGGCATCAGTAGGAACAATTTCAGGCAAAATCTATAACTCCAGTTGCCATTTTCCTGGTAATCTGCTTGAAATCTAATGAACTGCCCAGTTACTTGTTTTGGGGACTTATTCATACAGTTACTCAGAACATAAAAACATGTACATAACGCAGTGAAGTGTGGTGTTAAATGATTTAGGTTACAATGTGCAGTATTCTACAGTGGCATATGACATGTATCCACTCCAGGGACCTAAGCAGGGAGATCCTCCAGATGAGCTGAATGATAAAATCTGTAGACCACAACACTATGTCCAATGTTTATGTAACTGACTGAGAAAGGTAGCCCTGCTTCTTTTTCCGTAAATGCCATTGGGTAGAACCATATAGGGAGAGAGCCCTGGGAATCAAGATCTAGGCAGCTGCGTATTAATGGTCACACCATAAGGTGCAAACAAATGTATACTTTATATTCAAGGATTATAATGGGAATAATTCACGTATGCTCCATATTTGTACTCAACCTTATGGTACAAAAACAAAATCTGTCATCATATTCCTCCACCGATTAAAAACTCCCAAATGCCACAGACTGTTGGAAGAGAAGAATGGAACAGATTTTATGTATTTAATAGCAGCACGTGGTTGCCGTAAAGATGTATCACTTTGCACAGTCCAATCGGTGAACTGTTTATCCTCTGCACTCGTTCACATTGTATAGCGCACCTCTTGGAAATGATCCTAACAAAGGAAGTATTTAGTGCTACTTCTCTGTAAACAATACAAATAATAGCAATTGAAAAGATGAAAGTGTATGTTAAATAAAGAAGCATGCTACGGCTCTGCTTTCATAAAATCTACTTAACAATGATATCTACTCTCTTAGGTGCTAAACCAATAAACTCAGATGCAGCACTCCAGGTTCTTCCTCTGAGATTTCAGCCAAACGCTTAGTGAAGACGTACATTTTAATTTATGGGGGCTGATCTGCTAAAGGAGTAAATATTTACCATAGCCAGTGTTTACTTCAAATACCCAATACTCACATACCCAATGCCCAATACGTTTCAGGAAGAAATTATATTTATGATTCCCCCTTACTCAGTTGGATCTTTAAAGTGAATTCAGGCTAGTACAAAAATGACTCTTAGTAAATTAGCTCCTAAATGAGTGCATGTGTAGAACTGAATTAACACCAGAGGCAATCCCCATAAGCTACAAAAAACAGCAGGGCTGCAGTACAACCACCGTCACCTTTAAATTATAAGCCACTTAAAATAAAGCTGTCCTATTATTCAAGTTTCAGTGGGGAATTCTAACCTTCGGCTCCAGCCTTGCCTAGACCGTATGCCTGGTAGCATTTTCAGACATCCCATGCTGCATTCTATATAGGAATGACTGTAGAGCTTAGCCTATGTTGCAAGACTGTATTGTCAATGTAATCTGAGACAGACAGGAGCTGGAAGACGGAAAGTCCATTTTAAAGGTGATACTTACAGGGTTATTCATAAAAAGGTGAAGAGTTTGGAGAAGGCAGGAGAAGAGAACAATCTAGGCCAAGATAGCAGATTTGGAAAAATTCTGCAATTCAGCTCACTTTCCAGTTCAGTTATTTTGGCCTATATTGTTCTCTTCTCCTGCCTGCTCCAAACTCTTCACCCTTTTGTGAATAACCCTGTTAGTCTCTATGGCCCACATATTTCATAAGTAGTTAATGGGTGATGGAACCCAAAAGTTTCACACAAATCTTTCACCGCCATGATTTGCCTGCTACAGGGATCTCAGATAAAATCCACATTAAACATGTACTATTTTAAAGGAGTCATATCTACACTATTACAATGTACGAAGACCTTTATTGTGGCAATCATTAATCCATGAAATACAGATATGACGTCTTCCAAACCACGTTTGGTCCCACTACCCAAAGAAAGTGTATGACTGAATCTAAACGGGTTACGGTAGCAAGTGCCATCCATCAGTTATGTGCATGTGTGTGTACCAGAACATTTTTAACCCTATAGAACACGGTCCTGGTAACATTAATCTAGGACAGCTCTTTAGTATGGATGATTTTTCTTAGATGAACAGAGATTTGACTCAAAATCACCAGTCTCCTCAAACGCTATTTTATAAATGTGGGTGGTCTGAAGGTACCAAAAAATGGCAGCTACAAGATCCAGATGTTTTTAGTTGGGTCAAATGATGATTTCATGTCTGTGGGTGCCAACAGATGCCTTCGTCTAGTCTTTTTCCACGGAAATGAGAGATAAATTAGTATAAATTTCCTGACTTCTCCTCTTTCCCCAATTAGTCCTTTTTCTAGATCCTTCCACTTGCAAATATATGGATCATTCTGCAGCATGTGTAATATTTTCTGCCTTCTAGCCTATATGTAGTCTTGGCAGAAAATTGATCTATATGTAAAATATATACGGTATGCTTAAAAAGAAAATATAATGGTTCTGGGTCAATTTTATTTAACTGCCTAATATATTAATATATTTTAATGCATATATATATATATACACACACGCACACACACACACACACACACACACACACACACACACACACACACAAACAAACAATACATGACATGAATACAGAGCACTATGGGTCAACCAAAGACACAGCAAAGCAGTGGCTACTTGCATTGTCTGCCTGAAACTTCTGACTGAACCATAAGATAAGAGATAACTCACAGATGAGTCATCCACTTATGTGTGTAAACTACAGTTTGAGCTACCAAGCCTGTATACAAAAGGCTTTTTTTTTAACAAGCTTGTGAGAAAAAAAATGGGTGAAAGTCTAAACCCAATACGTTGTTTTTCTGCCAACTTTGTATCCAAAGAGGATTTCTCAGTTCCTGGGCAACAGTGTCTATATGATATAACAGTTTTGGAAAACTTCTTCTTATCCAAGATTTTAAAGCATAAACAGTAAGGAAGCAATCAACTGTTTTAAACAATTTTCACAGCTTGACCGATCAGCAAATCACAGCTACAGTGTATACAGTGTATTACCCAGACTATCAAGCAGCCAGCTGAATGTTTTGAAAAAATATGTTAAATTCAGTTAAGAATTTACTTTAAGATGAATTAGTCTAGTGGGATTGGATATTTGGTTAGTAATCAGCGTTTGCTTGCTATGCATGAGGGGCCCCTAGCCCTTTTTTTGACATATACCTTTCAGCAACTTTGCCGTTTAAAGCACTAGAAATGTATAGTAACAAGAGAATGATAACGTGCCATTCTAGTGAACATATCTAAGCAAGTTGGATAATGGGATACATATTCTTAGTGCTGTCTCCAGCTGTTCTGTATTTTTTTAAATGAAAATATCTATTGTTGAAGGGGCATGAGGGAGATAATGTTTACAGAAAACAGTAAATAGCAACTTTCTTCCAGCCCTATTCTGAATTTGGATTTTTGTACTAACCTATGTAAAAAAAAAAAAAAACTTATCTAAGTTTGCTTCCCAACTGGTCTAGATGCAAATACAAATAAATATATACTTTAAAGCTGAAAGTTTATCTGCTGGTTCCTGGTAATGAAATTAATGAATAAATCCTAAACTGTTTTCATTACATACATTATTTTAGACCTAGTGACATCATCGCTAGGTCCCTCTGCCTCTCTACTCAATGCAGGCAGATAATGGTTGGTTGAAGGGGTCGACAGGGTGCTGTATTTAGCTTCCTGCAAAGTGGAAGCTGTGGTAATGCCTGCACGTGATACTGAGCCTCCATAATTAAAAGAACTGGAATCTAACGAACGAAAGAGGCAGGCCAGGAACAATAAAACTTTTGTGGAAGGAGCTAGATGATGCTGGCTATCCTCCAGTCAGCAAATTAGAAAGGCTCTATCTGCCTTGCTGTCATTTCTAATGCATCCTGCGGGAAGCCCACAGTATGCAGTGAAATTAGAGTTAGATATTTCAGTACAGCAAATGTGCCTGTACTGCTGTGAAAGAAGGAAGGTAAGGCTGAAGTTCCTTTTTAAAAAAAATAAAGATAATACCAACAATAACCTGTGATTAAGATCACATGTGGAATGAAGCCAAGAAAGAATCACCAGTTTGTGAAAATTGTTATTTTTTTGTGTTTTTTTATACACACATATAAACATGACAAACACAGTCCATGCTTGTTGTCAACCAACATGTAACAACAATAAAAACATGTACAGACAATTAAGTTACAGCTCCCATTTAGATAACTGCTCAATAACAGCTTTTTTTAACAACTACAAAATGATTTAGATATATTTGTATCACATTATGCTTGTAAATTGAGCAAATATTTTAAAATCTGCCAGTGATAGGGCCTGCCATTATACAGACACCAAGGGATGTTTGGCAACCAATACACTAATAAGCCCCACTGGAAGAGCCAATGGCAGACTTTCTCAATAGCTGATGTGAAATAAAACTGAACTCTTATTATTACAGAAACTGTAAGCAGCATGTCAATTAAAACATGTTATGGTAGCCATACTCTGCCTCATTTAAAAGATTGTGACATCTTTGGCCAGTGCATGCAGAAACGGGGACATGGAGCCGTTCCCTAGACTTTCTGGACATCAGTTTTTATTTCATACATCAATTTTCCATTAAGCCAAAAATTGCTATGAAATGTTCTCTGTCACCATACATGTACTGCATCCATCAGTAGACTGAGCCGGTGAGAACACTCCAGCTTTTTCATCAATGCAGTAAGGTAATCAAGGACAGCATCCTTCTTGTTCAGTGAGACAACTTCTTGTCTATGGCCAGCTGTAGTATCCCACCAACTGGTGGGCATTACGGATGGGAAAACGTGGCACTTTGCTAAAAACATCCAGCTGTGTCATAACAAGGTTTGCATTTGTTCTGAACAGAATTCCATCATGACTATGTGAATGAAGGAAAAGACAGGAAAAAAGAACGATTAATATGATTAGTGTGTTCGACAACAAACACAGAGCCTCAATTATCAACATGATCTTTATGAGAACTGTCTGTATTGCCTCACAGCGACCAAAATGATTCAGGTTTACACTTGGGAAATGACAGTTGGAGAATTAATAACACTGCCGAGTAAATAAGTATTAATTGTAGTATTATGAGAGGATTTGTTGACTGAATGTTTTTGGGGGACAGATATAGTGCTATCTATAGATGGCACTATATCTGTCCCCCAAAAAAATTCAAGTTCAGTTTTCTGAACTGACAGCAGAAAGCAAAGTGATCGGGGCAAATCCTGGGATACTACGCACCATTCTTGTCATTGTGGGCAAAGGTGTTTAAATGTTCCTCACTAGTCAATGGTTCAGCAATCTTACCAATGGCCAATCTTACCAGTCCCAATGCCAGAGAAAGCTGGTATCAAAATGTCACCTTTAACACAAGATGGACTGACATATTAGTCACGCTGGCATAATATAACCACCTAAAGTAATTTCTAGTACAACCTTCTGGACTTTCTAACCCCACGATGGACTAGATTTGGTGAAAACTGTTCTGTGTCTATAGCCACCTCTAGTGTTAAGCCAGTGAAAACAACAGATTCATCAAATAGGTACAGATCCTATGAATCAATCATTCTTAGGGCATGCAATCGGTATGATTACATTCTAACAGGGTTATTCACAAAGCTGCCGTAGGCAGCCGAGTGAACACCCGACCCGAAGTGAACTGAGCCGAATGCTGTTCGGCTATTCAAGTCAGGCTTGTAGGGCTGATTCCAGCCGTACAACGGATGAAATCAGCCGTACATCGGCTTGCTACGGTTCGGCCGAATATGCTCTGCATGTTCAGCTGAGCTGAAGTGCAGAAGGAGTTCGACCCAGCCGATCCAACATCTGGATTGGCTGAGCCGAACCTGCGGCAGGCTACTCACTGCCATTCGGCCTATTCTCATAGGGGCCGAACGGCAGTGAGTGACTAGCCAAATGCCGCCGAGCGGCATTCAGCTCGGCTGTTCCGCTCATTAAAAAAGAAACAAACAAATGGGCGAAGCTAGCAGTGACCGCTAGCTCCGCCCAACTGTTTCCTATTGGCCAGGACCTGCTATAGTCTTCTAGCAGGTCCCGGCCAATGAATAACAACTTGACGGAGCCAGCCGTGAGATCATGGCCAGCTCCGCCAAGTTGTCATTGTGTAATGGCAGTTCAGCGTCCCCTGATAACCTGGGGACACTGATCTGTCATTGCAACTGGCCGGAGCCAGCCGTGAGATCACGTCTGGCTCCGCCGAGCTGTCAGTTGCGAGGCTCTCGGCCCGCTTCGGGTCTCACTTCAGCTCAGTCGAGCCGAAGCATATGCCTTCGGCTCGACAGAGCCGCTCGGCCAGCTTCGAGAGCTGTACAGGCTTTAGTGAATAGCCCGAACAGCAGCCCTTCAGTTCTACTGAACCGAAGGGCTCAGGCGGCCGCAGCTAGCCGAAGGATCAGCCGGAGCTACGGCTGATACTTCGGCTAGCTTTGTGAATAACCCTCTAAGTGTCATGGAAGGGAAGGGTTAAGTGTTAGGGAATTGCTTTAGTATAGGGGATACTTTTTATAGCTGGAATCTTAGCACAATAATTGGCAAAACCTAGTGCTAATGATCCCTAAAATGTCTACCTTCATAAGATCTTTAGATAACCAAATTACATATATGTTATTCAGGTCACATTGGGAATCCTCCAGCATCTTGTAAACTACAATACTGCGTTTTGCCTGTACTAATAAGAAAAAAGCAATAGACAATAAGAAACTGTTCAAAATTGTCCTACCCTCTCAGTCAGGGAACTGCATCTAAAATCCTGCAACTATATTTACTATGCACAGTGTCAGCAATTTACAAGGTTACACCAAAGTCACTGGTGTTGGACAAGAATTGAGTCCAAGCAAGAGAAGGTTAACTCCAATTCATAATGGTTCCCTTTACATCTTACGGGTGCACTTATGGAAAAACACCTATTGACATTCAGGAATTAGGTCATGCATAAGGAATGCTTTTTTCATAGACACCATGGTGGGGAATTTATCAGTACATAGTTACACATCACTAAGAACTTTTCCTGCTTTAATTCCTTCAGAAAAAAAAAGCATTTTGTATTTATGTTCATTTCCTTTCGATGTAACAACAAGTTATGTGCAATCTGTAATTACATTTTTAATTATGTTCAGTAAGGTAACACACTTCTTTCTACCGGTTGTGTAATATTCACAGCTTTCATGCCAGTGATCATTCACTGAGCACAAGAAACACTGATGTTATTGCCCTGAAGAGCTGTAGGAGTAGCTCAGTGGTAATGTCACTGCCTCTGAAATGCTGACCCCAATTCATACCCCAGGGTCAAATGACTGTGGCCCAGCCACATTTTTCCTGTTGTGAATGCTCTGTGTACAGCTTCACCGGCAGGTTTAGCAACAATTGTCTGTGCCTTATAGAATTTCCTATAATTATGGTTCCAAACAACTAGAACAAACATGTGTTCACTTCAAAACCCAGTACAGATTGAGGAGCATTTTCTGTTTTCTTTCATTTCCTCTTAGCCTTGCAGAGTGTTTATAGCGATCACCAGCCTGCTGGCCTGGAGATCCTTAATAATTCACATGCAACATATTTTATCAGTTACACAAATAAAATGGGCCACTCTAATACAGAGCTTACTTTGCTCATAGTGGAGATGGCCCCCTTCATTTCTCAGCAGTTTAGGCACGGTTTAATGTACCTAAAACTGCCTCTAATCTCGTCTATATGTTTCAGTGTAGAACATTTTTTTAATATTGTTTTCTGCATCTTTGGTACGGCGCCACATCTTCCATAGGGATCAATGGCACCTAGGGTTGCCGCATGGGAGATAAAACTTGCTACCAGTGTAATTAATAGGAAAAAGGTTATAAGGCCAATCATTTTTTAGCGGGTAAGGTGGCAGTCTTAACTGTACTGACTGTAATACTCATGTAAATGCACTGAGGGGAATTTATCAAGACTAGAGCAGACAAAATCTGGAGCAGTTGCCCATAGCAACCAATCAGCTTCTCTCTTTTATTTCCAAAGCTTAGTTGAGCAAACTGAACAGAGAAGGTGATTGGTTATTATGAGCAAGTGCTCCAGATTCTTTCTGCTCCAGTTTTTTTAATTCCCCTTCTGTGTTTTTTAATGCATGGAGTTTCAATAAAAATCCCCTTCCATAAATGTATGTAAAAAGTAACACAGTTATAAATGAAAAAAAAGTACTTAAATTGATAATAAAGCTGCATTTGTTTTTCAAGCACAGAGATGGGAACAAGCCATTTATGTTCACTCTCAAAGAAATCGACAATCGCTTAGGCTTAGTCATACACATTATAAACTGATTGTGCCATCTCTGCAAATTCTCTTAAATTTACCAATAGCTATGTAATACGAGAGCTCACCTAAATGATCCAGTCTGATTAAGAGTGCAGCATGTGTGACCAGCTTTAGTGCCAACAACTTTTACCTCTGTCTTCAAACAGGCTTATTTCAAGTACTATTTTCACATCAATCTTATGTATACATGACAGGGATTTTCCAACATGCTGCAACATCTATGCCACCTACCCAACTGATATTTGTTCATATTCTGTGATTGTAGCCCATGTTTTACCTATATGACTGCAAATGACACTCAAAACTGTGGCTCATCTTGTAGAGATCATAACAGCTAATGTATAAAAAAAAATGGAATCTGGAGAGAAGCTTAGCAGCTGCCTATAGTCACCAATTAGATTTTTCCGGTCATTACTTGGGAAATAAAATGAGGAATCTGATTATCTGTCTGTTACATACCCAGTTTACAAAGATAAGACCAAAGTAAGTGAGACTCCCTCAGTCTACATTCTGTACATATTTTGCAATCCGGTGATAACAGTTCATAGCATATGTTTTCATTAGTTTTTTTCTTTTTTCTGTTGAAGATCTGCCTTTCACTTTATGGAGTAATGAAATATAGTTCTAAAACTAGACAGATAACTGGTGCATGCACACTGCCTGGGTTCTGATGCGTTATTTCACGTATGTGACTGCACAGTAATGCCACTAAAAATAGGTCCAATGTTCCTTTATGTGTCAGAGCACACATGAAAAATCCAGCATCCAGCATTTGCTGTGTGTATTTTCCACAAGAGGCTAGGCCTAAATCTGAAGTCTGTGGACTCAGGTAACAAAGCTATATATATTGGTGGCTTCTCGTGTGACAAAAACACAGAGGAAACACATTTAAAATGCATAGGATATGCATAAAAAAGGACTGGAAAAACATCTGTGTTTTAAAGCATTTAAATGCCTTCT